ACTAATTTAGAGTTTTAATTTATATTTAAGCTAATTTTTTCATTATTGTTGTAGGTTTATATATTGGGAGAATCTCTTTTATAAGGTAAATGACTATGCCTTTTTTTTTTTCATTTTTATGCTATTAGTTTGTATTGTATTATATGATGATTAATTTGAAATACTATTTTTATTTTTGTTTCTTGTGTCTTTGTAGGGGAGATGTCTTAGCACAATATATGGTATACAATTATACTTTAATTTTCTTAGAGTTTCTTTGAGTGATTTAAAGATGTTTTTCATTTTTTTTTCTTAATTTTTTAATTACTTTATTTATTATTTATTTTTTGTAGGTAGAAGAATGGATATCATTTTAACTTTATTTTCTTCTTTTTCATTTGTAAATTTTTCTTTCTTTTTTGTTTTGATGGATGTAAATTTTCATAGATATATTGACTAGTGTAATTGATAACTAAACTATTAGAAAACTCAAAATCACCGAGCCATAATCACCGACGTAAAAAGTTTTCTCGGTAAACTATCCCCTTACCGACAAGGTAGACGTCTGCAAATAAAGGAACAGTAAAAATAAGAATAATTTATATTATTTAAGGTACAGACAAAATTTTTCTCGGTAAATTTGCATGATACACACCTGCCCTTCGTCGGTAATATGCTGCAATGTACACTCCGGCAACAAGCGGACCAATAAACAAATCAGCGACAAAGATCATGCTTGTAACTAATTCAATCTGCAACAGGATTCATCTCGGTGAATTTACCGACAAAGACTTCGTTGGTAAATTCACAGTTCCCAACCCTCCACAGTGAATCCGGCTACCAATGGTTGGGCTTGCAGCTTTTGGTACACTTACCAACAAAATTCTAGTCGATAATTTCATATTACCAACCATACACTTCTTGGTTATCACGTTGGTCAACCTACATGTTGTAGCTTTGCAGAGAAGATCAGCTTTTAATGGTAGCAATGTAGTTTTCATCGGTAAGGGGTACCTTTTACCACCCCAGACCCTCTTGCCCTTTCATTTTGGTCTTCCTCTTCAAGCATCTTGCTTTCCTTTCCTCTGTTCTTCCCTTCATATAAATTCTTCTTGGTCTTCCTCTTCCAACAACAAGCAGTGTTTGCTTTCCTTTCCTCCATTCTTTCTTTCGAATCACTCTAGCATTTTGCTTCTTACAGTGTGTGAGTCCTTGTTCGATAGCTAGATCTGCTGTGTGTGAGTCCTTGTTCAACAGCTAGATCTAAATTTTTCTGCCCAGATAAAATAATAACAGTTTTGAATATTCGACCATAAAGCAATCTCCACGTACTCCAAGGCAGTTTGCTCCACTGGACCATTTCAAAACATGATAAGCACAACATTTCCAAAATATTTCCTCCAACAAATTAAATTCTGTATCTCGTAATTAACTGCTCCACTTATAAGCAGTGGTAAGTGTTATTTACCTAGTTTTATTATTTTATATTAAATTTAAATATTTGATATATATTTTATTTTTCTGAAATTTAAGCTATCAAATATTGCCTTTAGTTCATTGGATATTAATTTTGTGAGATTGTTGTTTTAGTTAAATTTTTTGGATAATTATTAGTAATTTTTGATAATTTTTTAGTTGTAAAATTTTAATATTAAGTGTTTGAAATTAACATTATGAGATTTATTG